TACGAGAAACAAACAGTTATCATTCCATAGTGAGGAGAGTATTCGAATTTTCTTTAAAATCACAAAACGATTACATTTCTATCATGAATTGGATTTTCTCTTTCTCTATATATACGTAACATTATGTATATATGTATATATATATATATATATGTATGTATTTGTTTTTGTATTAACGATATCCTATCCAGAATACGATATTTCTGACGAGAGAAACGCGCTCTCGTATCCGCCATCCAAAACGTTCCCACGGATACTCCGTCGAGTATTTCTAGCGTTCCGGAGAAGCGATCGTTAAACTCCGTCCTGTGGCTCGAGAGGATCGATTTAGCGGATTCACGGCGATCGGCGTAGCCACTCCAAGGTTCTATAGCCTAGTCGGACTCGCCTTTTGCTTCCGTGCGATCTAGAATTAGATTGTCTGACCAGTTACTATGATCCTTACGGCTTAAAACATACACGTAGACGCACGTTTAACCATGTGTTCATTGAAAATACAGTTGGTTGTTTTCTTGAAAAAGTAAAAATCTATATTCGTTGAAAAAGTAAAAATAATAAAAAAAGAAAGAAAAAAAAAAAGGAAAAAAAAAAAAAGAATAAGGCAACATTAGATTGCTACTTCATACTTTCTTATGGAATTTAGAAGTAAAAACTTTCAGATCTTTTTTTCTTTCTTTTTTTCTTTCTTTCTTTCTTTTTTTCGTTTGTTTCTTATCTTTTCCTTTTTTTTCTTCTCTTTTTATTTTTTTTTTTCTATTATTATTATTTTCTTTTTATCTCATCATTTCGTGGAACAAAGAATATTGAAACGTTCGTAGAGCGGAGGAAGAGGATGAGGAGGAGGAGGAGGAGGTGGAGGAGGAGGAGGAGGAGGATCTGTTAGAAGGGCGAAGCTAGGCAGGACTCACAGCACACGCTCGGTCACATCCACTCGAGGACGCAGGACAGAGCGTTTAGGGTCGATGGCCTCACACGGTTTATCTCCGTGTTCGGTGCTCTACGTATATTTCGTCTCTCTCTCTCTCTCTTTCTCTCTCTTTCTCTCTTTCTCTTTCTCTTTTCCTTCCTCTTCTACCTTTCTATATCCTCTCTAACTTTCTATACGTCTCTCTCTTTCTCTTTTTCTCTCTCTTTCTCTTTCTCTTTCTCTCTCTCTCTCTTCTTCTTTCCCTCCCTTTCTCTCTCTCTCTCTCTCACACACACACACACACACACACACACACACATACACGCATTTACTCACTCGGCATACTTCGTACTCGCGATACGTTTTCCAATGCGATCAAGGGTGAAAGGAACCATCCCAATTATTTCTTTTTTTATCTTTTCCAACTCTTTGAACTTTTTCTGTTCGAAGTCCATTCGACGTTTATTTTTATCTCGTAGCATCGTGTATCGTTGATCCCGCTAAGAGAAGTAGGAATGTGTTGTCTCCTCTCTTTGAAGGTGCCAACTCACGAGATTTCTCACACATTCGAGAGGAGCCGTTTAGTCGAAAGACTAACGTGTGTAGGGTGGTAATAGGGGGAGAAAGAGAGAGAGAGAGAGAGAGAGAGAGTGTGTATCAGAGAAAGAGAGAAAGAGAAAGAGAGAAAGAGAAAGGAGGGAAGAAATATCGATGGTGCTATGAGAAGAGACAAAGTAGTTGAGGAGAATGCGTAAAACAGGCACTTAAGGAAACAATGAACGATCGACTAGCTCGAGTCTCTCTCTCTCTCTCTCTCTCTCTCTCTCTCTCTCTCTCTTTCTTTTTCTGGTCGTTGTGTTCTTCGTGCCGTATTTGATCGTGTCTACAGCAGCGTCATCGTTTTAACGTGCCTTCAGTTCTTCGATTTTTCCGATCAAATATAGTACCCTTTACAATATCTTTTTATTCTCTTTCTCTCTTTCTCCTTCCCATTTTTCTTCTTCTAGTTCGGACGAGGGATCGATCGACAAATAAAAAAAACTATTGTATGACTGAAATGCATCTACGACTTTTAAATTAATTTATTTAATTTATTTAATTTATTTAATTTATTTAATTCCTTTATATCATTTTCTGATTACAGTGATCTGGAAAGAGATTTAAGCCTATCAGAGGATAGCGAGGATGAAACAAATAAGGTAAATGAACAATAGATTATATTAAAGATTTTATTTTGTTCGCTTTGAATCATTGCATCAATTAAACGAGAAAGTAAGAAGGGAGGGAGAGGGGGGAGGGGTGTGAAAGGAATTAGCACGGATTTAGGAATCGATGTACAACAGGTAGTAATGGTGGTAATAGTGGTAGTAACTTCCCGCGTTAAAAAAAAAAAAGAAAAAGCACACTAGAATTTTAGTTTCCTTTCTCCTTTCTCATCGTAATATTTCTCTATCGCGATTCACTTCTACCATTTTGTCGTTTTCCCAAGAATACTTCCGCAGGTTGGTACGACCGCCTACTTTCAATCGATGATACAGTAAGTTACGTTCATCTTATTTCGCCTCAAATTCGTATCACGATTGTACCAATCTATTATTTTTGTTCATATGATAACATTCGATTAATTTGTTTTTACAGAACACTTTACCTAGACCCATTAGAGGCAACAGAAGTCCAAACGTTTCTGTTAGGTAAGTTTTATATATATATATATATATATGCATCACTTTGAAATATGACTAAACAAAAGGATTCACTGTTAAGTTTTATAAACGTACTATAACTCCATGTCTTCATTGTGTAATAAAGTAATTATTTTAATAATGAATCACATATAGTATTGTAATAAAAATTTTATAAATGAGTTTCGCCAATAGAAATTTTGTAAATATTAATGAGTCTTAATGACAGTGAACGATTGAAATGTTTAATAATTCAAACATTGATTCATTCAGAACATTGTGAACATTTAAATTATTCTTCTTACAGTCTACCAACCCCATTAATGTCAACCATGGTACCGGGATCTGCCACTATTGCACCTATGTCTCCAATGCCAATATCACCGGTGGGATCGCTATCACCTTCGAGGCCTTTGAGTTTACCTCGACCATCCCCGCCGTTAAAACAATTAACACCGGAAAAAGTTACGTCGCCAACATTGGTTAGTCCATTGAGAACTAAAGATTCACCTAATACGTCAACTCATCATCGGCCGCCAAGTCCTCCCGGACAAGCCCCACAAAGTTCCGGAAGTGCGAGTTCTAGCTCGGACTCTGGTTCAGATTCTGGGAGCGATAGCAGCGATGATTCTGATGATGAGAACGTTCAACCAATTGCGAAGGGACCTTCAACACCTCCCTCTGTCTCTCCTGGAGTAGTTGAAGAACCACCGCCTGAGGTTGAAGAATCTAAACCAAGATGGAATTTGAGTTCCTTCTTTAGCAAGTCTTCCGTGCCACCGGGTGATCAAAATTCAGAAACAAAAACTATGGTTCAGGTATTGTAACTATTTCGATCTTTATTTCGCGAGACTTTGTAAAGAATTCGTTCGAAGACCAAATCGGTTGTATCCAAGTTGCGTAATCTTTGAACACGATCCATTTAGAACTTTGAACTTAGCCGACTCATTGGTATGATTCGATCGTTTGGAAAACTTTCATCGAATGAAATGGAAAGTCTCGTCGAGTTTCTCTTTTCAATCAAAATAATCATTTTGATGAGTCCTTTTGATAATTTCCGATGAAATAAAATATCCTGAAAAGGGATGATTTTCTTGATATACGTTTTTTTTTTTCTCTTTTTATTTTTCAGGATGAGATCAGACCGGAGGGTACACCAGAAGAACCATCGGAGATAAGAGTACATAGAGAAAAGTCTCACGATTGGCATTTAGATGATGCTTTAAAAAGAACTCATAATCCGACGATGATGAGTTTACTAAGTGACAGCAGTCATCATTCAGATCAAGAAAAAGGTCAGACTGTTGAAGAAAGTCATTTAGAGATAGAAAAACCAAAAGTAGCGGACACAAGAAAACGTGGTCGACCGAGAAAATCGGCGAAAAGTCCAAAGCGCGATCGTAGAACGTCAGATGAAAATACAAAAAGTACTAAATCGCGTAGTAGGACACGGCCAGTTAATAAAAAAAAGAGATCGATATCGAAAGCGATTGTGCCAACTAGCGATGATGCAAGTGACATAAGGTCGCGGGATGCATCAACTGATTCAGATAGCGATAAACCGGCCGCATCAGTTACACCAGCTATAACAGGTATAACTGAAAAAAGAAGATCAAGATTGAGCATATCATCTAGCGAGGACGAAAGTCCATCAAATGGGAAGAATAGCGGGTCCGAGGGTGAGACAGGTCGTTGGAGAAGAACTTCTGTTAAACAACGTAGTAAACTCGCGGACTCCCCCAAGAAGCAAGATAAAAAGAAGAGTCCGGCCAAGGCGAAGCCAAGAAGGCCAAGATCGAGAGTTACTAATATCAATGGCGGTTCCGATTCCGACAGCGAATCTGAAGTTGCTACGAGGAATCGCATTCAAGTGGCTAGGTAAGGATCATTTTAATTAAATAAATAAAATTTTAATTTAGATCTTGAAAACTGAGTAAACAATTTTCTACGTTCTTTTACTTATTCTTTCTTTTTTTTTTTTTCCCTTCCTTTAATAATAACTTTCGTTTTGAACCTTTTTCTAAATCCTCAGTTGGGACGGGTTTACATTACAAATAAAATACAATATTATTATATTTAATTTTATTTGAAGTTAATTATATTGTCGTCTGTACAAACGAGCGTTCACATGTATAGAGTTCCACCTAGACCGCGAATACCACCAACGAGGACAACCTCACCGGACAATTCTGATAGCGACAATAGTCCAACTCCGAAATTGCAAGAAGACGATGCCGGCAATGTTCAGGATAAGAAAAAGAGCGATACCTTGCGAAAATTGTTTTCTATATCCAAAGGAGGTGCAAAAGGTGGTGGCAAGGGTGGAAAAGGTGGCAAGGGTGGTGGAAAGTGCGGTATTTATGTTCAGGAGTATACATCCTCGGCCAATACACCAAATGGTAGTGAAAGTCCGTACAAAAGACCGCTATCGCAATCTTCAAACACTCAAACAATACCTCCGTTAACCTATAAGAACGGTGTGCCCAGTCTAATGTGCAAGATAGACCTTAGTAGGATAGCCCATTTATCGCAAATGTCGAGAGGACAGGAACTCAGGCAACGGACAGAACTTCCGGATACCAGGCCATCCTCCAGACAATCTTCGAGCATACACGCTCAAGTACCAAGACCACCTACTCCAGAGGAAGGTGAGATAGTCGATGCATCGCCGGTTCAGCAACGTTCATCGGACGTTAGGAGGACTCATGGCGATAATAATACATTGGACCAAAGTGAAAAGAAGAGTCGTTCTAACCTCGTAAAAAATGATGCTCGTTCGTCGGACTCAAAAAACTGCTCTGGTAGTGGCATTCACAGTGCTGGTGGTAGTGCCGGTGCTGGTAGTTCTAGTGCCACGAGTTCTAATGTAACAAAGAGGAAACGGAATACCAGCTGCAGTTCAGTTTCTAGTTTAAGTACTGTTTGTTCTACGGATTTGAAGTCGAAAGGCAGCAGTGCCGAGCACAAAGAGAAAAGGAGGAAAAGGAAGCACGCCGAATCCGAAACGACCACGCCTAGACCGTCTTCGGCTCAGGTAAGACCTATACTCTGAATAATTTGACATTTCTGTATTGTATATATGATGAAAAAAATAATTAATAAATAAATAACGTAGTTTTTTCATTAATTTTATTATCGATCAGCAAAATGACGTACAACCTACAAATCACGAGCGGGAAGAAAAAAGTGATACAAATTTGTTACCACCGCCACCCCCGCCACAACGTATCTACTATTCGTATTTTCACGCGCAAAACGAGGTGTTGGAAGACCAGGACAGGTACATTAATTAGTATTAATTTTTTTTCTTTCTTTTTTCTTTGTTTTTTTTTGTTTTTTTTTTTTTTTTAATCACTTTATCTTATCTTTCTCCCCGTTAAGAATATAACGTGTCCACGGAATATATTCGTGCTTAATGAGTAAAAATGTTCTATTTTATATCGTACAGGGACCAGAATCAGTACCTGACGGAAGCAAAACGGCTGAAACATAGCGCTGACGAGGAGTGCGAACTCACGGCACAAGGTATGTTATACTTGGAGGCTGTTTTGTATTTCTTACTCACTGGCAACGCCATGGAGTCTGACCCTCTTACAGAACGGGCGTCGTTCACGATGTATAGGGACACTCTAAGTCTTATAAAGTGAGTAGATCTTTAATTAACTACAAACTCTTACGAAGAGGAGTAAGTGGTTGGTTAATTAAAGCGATATCTACGATTTTCTCTATATCTTCATTTCAGATATATTTCATCAAAGTTCAAGAGCCAACAAAATAACTCTCCAGAGAGCAGTATAAATAACAAGTTGGCTGTTCTGAGGTGAGTACCATTCACTTGAGACTCTTTTTTATTTTTTTTCTTTTTTTTTTTTTTTACATACTCCAGCCGTCAATGATTATTACGTACACGCGTGCACGCTGTACAATATTTTCAATTTCAAAATTTTGTTATTTTCAGCCTCTGGTGCCAGTCTCTTTTATATTTAAAAATGTTTAAAATGCTCAAACACGAAGTGAAAGAATATCAAAAGATCCTTAATGAATACCATCAAAAGGTAAGCGAATATCAATGTCTATTAAAACTTTTATAACAATTATATTACAAGAAGAAAGACATTATATATATATATGTGTGTGTGTGTTTGTGTATCTTTGATTTTAGCCGGCTCAAGCAACACCAGTACAACCGGAAGGTCAAGGTACACCATCCTTGTCTCCAACACCATCTCCTGCCGGTTCAGTTGGTTCGGTCGGTAGTCAAAGTTCCGGTTACAGTAGTGGTGAATTAGCTAATAGAGGAGTTGCTTCGGGTCAACCCCAGGCAGCACCTTATGTCAGTGTTCCACTCCATGTCCATAATGCCATGGCAAAACAAAATTATTACTTTAGTTTGCTGTTAACCTGTCATGATCTTTGGGATCAAGCAAACGCTTTGGTAACAGATAAACATAAAGGTTCGTCTATATGAAAAATTATATAATTATTTTCGATTGATTTTAATAATTAAATAGATGAACAATTTATAAATAATCGTTTTTCTTTATCAATAGATTTTTTCATTGAGCTGGACGAGAAGATGGGACCTCTAACATTGAAGAGCTCGTTATGCGATCTCGTGCGTTACGTAAAAGCTGGTATAAAAAAGCTTCGAGCTCTCTGACCACAATGGCACAGCCCCCGGCCACCTACTCCCAACTACATTACCTCACTCCCACAAAACATCGCAACGTATCCAACGATGTTCACGTGAATCCAACGTGACACACATGTACGTCCTGGATATAATCGTCGTAACATCGATATGGAAAAAATTTACTTTTTCTAGCCAGGAAAGGAATAGAATCTACGTTTTTTTTTTTTTAAACGGGATGGGAAGGGTGGGAGGGAGGATTTGGATGGAAGGGTTGAGGAAAAGGTAATACAACAAAGGAAAAACCAATTGGTCACGGGGTGCGATGGATAGATAGAAAAGATGTAGGAAAGAACAATGGAGTAAAACTGAAAGAAAACTAAGAAGAAAAATAGAGAAAAAAAGAAAGAAAGAAAGAAAGAAAGAAAGATAAGACGAAGAGAGATACGAATGTATTTAAGGAACGAAACAAAATCCTCGGCCCGCGATGACGATATAATAAAATCATTGACTGTCATCGTGCAAAAACGTTTTTTCATCAAGATAAGCGTTCATGTCCTTACAGCAATCATCGTTATTAAAAATGTTAATAAACAATGGTCGTTGTAAGGAAAAGAATCGTTGTGTTTGTTAACACCTTAATAATGGCAATGATCGTGTGTGTTGGTAAGGAAATGATGCGGAGTTTCATATATAGAGGAGAAAAGAAGGGTGGGAAAAAAAAAATGAAAAAAGAAAAAAAAAATTAAACAAGAAAGAAATGGTTTAGCAGGATGTTAGTCAATTTTTTTTTTGCGGATCATTGTGGGCTATATAGATAAAAAAAAGAAAATATATATATATATATATATATATATATATATATATATATATCGATGATTCAAAAGTCGCGTGTGTTTGCCCAACTCTAGGAAAACGAGTTACAACTTATATATATTTTTTCGAAATGTCCGCTTTTGTAAGTTATCGCATGTAGATACGAGAAGATCGATGAAAGGAGTATGAATTGAAAGAATTAACTAACAATGAGGATAATAAATATAGGTAAACGTAAAGTGATTGGGAGTTTTTTTGATAGAAAAATAATGAGGAGAGGAAGTTCAATAAATGGAAGTGAATAGAAGTGCCACAGGAGCGCCCGTGTTTTCTCGCTTCACGGTGCGCAACAGCCGACGTTACCTGAAGCATGAGTCTCGTCTTATCGGCGATTCGCGTGCGACGAAAAAAAAAAAAAAAATAAAAAAGAAAATAAAAAAAAAAAAATAATAAAATACACAATGATATACATATATACATATAGTTTATTACGCATATAAATATATAAATAATTATAAATACATATAAATATATACATGTATATATATATATATATATATATATATATATATGTATATATATATATATATAAACATATAAATATATTTAATGAGAAACGTGGAAAGATTACATAAAGCACAGCTGATATCCGTCTGGCGGATTATTATACATATATTAATATAAAAGAGAAGATAAATAAATAATATAAATATAATACGTGTCGCATATTCGTCGATCGGAAATATGCGAGTTTATTATTAGACGGCAAAAGGGAGGAAAAGAAGAAAACTAAAACAAAAGAATCGATGTAATATGATCAAAGGCTGTAGTACTACTATGTAGTATATATATATACATATATATATTATGTATATATATATATATACACATATATATATATATATATATATGTATATATACACAACTGGAAAGCGTGTAAAGAGAAGCAACACAACAAGAACAAGAACAACAACCAACAACAAAAACAAAAACAAAACAAAAAAAGAAAAAAAAGAAACTAAAGAAAATGGACACACTTTGTAGATAAATGACGCGAGAGTAATTTAATACGCAACAAATAGTTATGAAAAAAATAATGCGACAGCGCAAGCAGTACATATTGTTTACATTATTTAGAATTATTATGGGAAAAATAAGTAATTAGTGGTTAATAGAATAATGAAAAAGAGTGTAGTTCATACGTGTATACATAGTACGATGAGCAGCGAGCATGGGCAGAGGAGTAGGGAGGGTGGGTGGGTGGGTTATAGGGGGGGGATTGAGGAAAGAGTGGGGGCGTATGTTGTTAACGCCGATCAAAGAGCCGTATAAAGGAAGGGAAGAACTTTATTTACGCGATAATGTATGTAACTGAGAAAGATAGAAAGGTGTATATCCGATAAGTAAGTTGTTCCATCTGTATATTTTTGTAAATAGATATATGTGAGTGCCGCCGCCTTGAGGGTGATCATCGATCAAATCGTCGTTAATGACTTCGATAGATCAAAACGCCCTAATTTTTGCTACCACAGAACTTATCGAAAATCGGGTCCCTTCTGGTAAACAATAAAAAACACATCTGTATACAGACGCGTCCTCGCATAACACGATATACACACATATACACACGTACACATAAGCGCGCGCGCATACATATAGAAAAAGAAAAAGAAAACAAAAAAAAAAAAAAAAAAAGAGTTCAATAACATTATCTCGGATTATTTATAATACTTAAAAATTCAGATGTCCTATTTTCTTTTCTTTTCTTTTCTATTTTTTTTTCTTACTTTTTTTTTTTCTTTTTTTTCTTTCTTTTGTCCTCTTTTGCCCACCCCTCGACTCTCCCTTCTTTTCTCTCTCTCTTTCTCTCTCTCTCTCTCTCTCTCACACACACACTCTCTCTCTCTCTCTCTCTTTTTCTCCTCTCTCTAGCTAGTTCTTCATTTACATTGATACCGTCATTAT